TTTTTTGTGGTACGTGGCCTCTCACTGTTGTGGCCTCTCCCGTTGCGGAGCACAGGCTCCGGACGCGCAGCCTCAGCGGCCATGGCTCACCGGGCCTAGCCGCTCCGGGGCATGTGGGATCTTCCCAGACCAGGGCACGAACCCATGTCCCCTACATTGGCAGGCGGACTCTCAACCACTGCGCCACCAGGGAAGCCCCAAGCATGTATCTTTTTTAATTAGCGTTTTCATTTTCTTTGGACATATACCCACAAGTGGAATTGCTGGGTCATATGGTAGTTCTATTTTTCGTTTTTTGAGGAACCTCCATACTATGTTCCATAACGCTTCACCAATTTACCTTCCCACCAACAGTTTACAAGGGTTCCCTTTTCTCTGCATCCTCGCCAGCGTTTGTTATTTGTTGTCCATTTGCTGGTTGCTATTTTAATAAGCGTGACGTGGTACCTCATTGTGCTTTTGATTTGCACTGATGACTAATGGTTAATGACTGGCGTTAATCCGATGATTAATGACGCAGAGCATCTTTTCATGGGCTTTTTAGCCACCTGTACGTCTTCTCTGGAAAAACGTACATTCAGGTTTGTGCCCATTTTTTAATCGGGTGGTTTGCTTGTTTGATATGGCTGTGCAATTATTTTACAGGATGAAAATTACACAGAAAAGTTTATATCCTGCTTTTTTCACTTAAAATTAGCCCACAAGGATTTCTAATTTTTTTTCTCCTTTTATACTTAAATCATGTCTACTTAGATTTCATTCAGAGGCACTAATTAAGCTGAGACATCTAAATATGCTTCTGTGTAGCTTTCCAATTTAGCAAATCAATCAACCATTCTCCATTAATTAATTCCTTTATCATGTTCGTCACTCTTTTGTAAACACCAAGATCTGTTTCTAGGATCACTTTTGTCTTGAGGCAGTGAGTACAAAGAACAGATCGTGTTGTTGTTGGCAAACTCCTGTGCTAGAGCATAAAAGACAGTCTAGAGGTCAGAGCTGAGAACTGGCTGCCTGGACCGGCGA